AAAAAATAAAGTGCAGTGCAGTCATCCTTTGGCATCTGTAGGACACTGGTTTCAGGAGCTCCCATAGAAATGAAAATCCAAGCATTCTCAAGTTCCTTACATGAAATGGTACATACATTATTTGTATGTAACCTATGCACATCTTCCTGTATACCTTAAACCATCTCTACATTACTTAAAATACATAGTACAATGCACAAACTATGTAAATAGTTGTTATATTATATTGTTTAGGGCCCAATGACAAGAAAAAGTTTGTACATGTTCAGTACAAACAGTTCTCTTTGTAATATTTCCATCTCTAGTTGGTTGAATTCAAGAATATGAACCCAAAAATTTGGAGGACTGAGCACTACACTTGTCAGGGAAACAGAGCTTCAAGACAAGTTCCTAAATTCCCGGATGCGCCCCTCTCTACCCTAGAAGGTCATGTTAACATTCACTGTAAGGAAACATGAAGTCTTCCTAGGCAAAATGTTTGCAAACAACCCACTATCTTCCTCACTTTCCTTTTTCCCTCATACAAGATTATCACTTTGAAGCACCTTGGATATAAAAATAGTAAAACTGATAGAGGAATAGAGAAGGCCCAGAAACCTAGGATCCACAGTCTAGCCCAAACTTGCCCTTGGAACAGGACTAGAATGGAAGTCAGAAGGAGCAACACACAGAACCCTGGCTTTGGGCCATGACACCTGCAGCCAGCAGGTCCCTGGTGAAGGCACAGACAGATTGCACACCCAACCCTCCTTGGCAGCCTTGGAGCCCAACTCTCTTGTGCCTGAAGCTCCTCTCAATGTCTTCATAGATTCCTTTGTCACATCTATCTTAGCCAGCCTGCTCCTCTTAATAAAATGCCCTTGTGGCCACTACAGACAGCCTGATGTTATCCTTCACTCCTGCCCTTCCCCCACGATGCACTGCAGGGCGGTGATTCAGGCTTCCTGGGCCACAGTGTAGTCTCCTGGGGAAAATGCTTCTTGAGTGTCCAAGACAGGGCTTGACAGAACCTTTAGGTGTGGGGATAGCAAATACTCTTTCTGTGTCTCATCAGATGACCTAAGCCCCTGGATTCAGATTCTTATTCTGAATTTCCATCCTTTCCTGGCCTGTTTCTTCTTCCCTGAACCAGTTACCTTTGTTCTCCCACAACTATATAACCTGGGTCTAATGTGTTAAGCCTTTCTGCTGCTGATTGTTAATAAATCCCCTATGCATATCCCCCAAAAGAGCAGAAATCCTTAAGATACAAAGAATGAATCACCAATGGTAAAATTTTAGGGAAGGTGATAGGCAATTGAGGTGAAACATTTGATCACACCATGTTTACCTATGTGGAAGGCTGGCCCTGAGGATATTCTGGTGTTTTCTCTCAAATATAATGAAGACTTGGGATAACTGGAAAGAAGGCAGCTATCTCAGGTTGGGAGCAGGGACAGCTTGCTGCTCCTCCTAGCTCTAGCACTAATTGGATGCATGGTCCTACAATTCCCTTTCTAGGCCTCAATTTCCCAATATGTCAAAAGAGGTCAGTGGATTAGCCGATTTTCAGGGTTCCTTCTTGTTCTAACAAGCTCAT